TCCCATCCACTCCCTGCCTGATGCCAGCGGGAGACGCGATCGTGCCAACACGTGGGTCCCTCTCTGCTCAGCCCTGCCTGAGATCCGTGCCCAGACAGAGCCCTCCACCAGACCCGTGGGGTGTCCCCAAGGGACTCCAGCCCCAGGGGCTCCTTCCCCAGACACGCAGAGGGTGAAATATGGGTTTCATCCCTCCAGACATTTTAATGACTTCACTTGGGAACCAACGGAAAGAAGAGAGACAGAAAGATCAAGGACCAGTTGCTTAGTAACGAAAGGAGAGAGGCGCAGGGGATGGGGGAGAAGGGAATTTTTATCTTTTCTTTTTTTTTTTTTGATGAGACAGTTTCTCCACTTTCAGGAGACATGATTTCCTCCCCCCCAGCATCTCCGGTGCCACATCCTGCACGGAGAGACACTGAGCTCTGCCTGTTCCTATCCCTGTCCCCAGGGCTGTGGAAAGGTCCCCCTAAAACCAACGGTCTCTATCTTCCTAGCTCAAGCCCAGCAAGGGAGAGAGGTGGTAAAAAGCAGTGGATCACAGGGAAGGATGGAAAGATGCTTTCTCTGGGTGGCACACAAGAATGTGGCCTCCATCACCACTGAATTTTTGATGCTCTACAAAACCACCAGCAGAAACAGGAGGCAGGCAGCTCCAGGAGCCACTTACCAAGCTAGGACTGAGATATTTAAAAGCAAGCTGCTCACAGAAGCCCCTGCCAGACCCTTTCCATTCAAAACCAGCTCCTCCTCCTGCCCGAGCTCTCCTCCCAGCCAGAGGAAGCCGGCTGGGAACGGAGCTGGGGATTTAAGCTGCCCATTGCAAGCGCTGACCTTTCCTTCCCAGCATGGCGCGCGCGGAGACGAGCTGAGGGTTCACCCCGGAAAATGTCAAGCCCTGGCAGCCGGACTGGGAGCTGGGAAAGCCGTTGGGAGCCCTCGGAGCAGCACATAGCAAACCAGGCTGCAATTAATTAAGACCAGGACACACACTGTTAACCATTTACTGCCCTCCAGAAGGGAGTCGTTTCCATCCCTGCCTTCACGCTGAGCATCCCGTGTCCAGAAGGATGCTCTGAGGACCTCTGCGATGAGGGCAAGGGCGCTGGTTCCCCTAAAACGTACCACTGCTTGCCCATGTCAAGCGATGCTGTTCACCACCCTCCTCGCTGCAGCTGGAGGGTTGAGATTTTCCTTATGGAGTGTCAGCCCTTCTTCCCCTTCGCCCCTCATCACACTTCCAGCCCCACTTCACCCAGCTGATCTCTAACCCGCAGCAGAAGAGAAACAGACATCTCCAGACATCCCGATCAGAGTTTCCATGGGAACAAAAGCACTGCTGGTCCTCCCAGCCCTGCAGATGCTGATTTCCGAGTGGAGCATCCCGGCGATGCCAAGGATGGGAGAAAACCATCCCTACCCTTCCACAGATCAGCTGAAAAATCTTCCCAAATTTCACCTGCTTGCTGCTGATGTGACAACGCTCAGCAGATGTATCATCACACCAGTCCACGTCTCAGCCCGACGCTGCGTACGGGCCGCAGTTCCAACCACAGCAGTGAGGGATCTGCTTTGGGACCGACTTTCTTCTTCTCTGCAGGGCACAGGTGTGCCACAGCCCTGTGGAGAGCTGGCATTGCATGGGCAAACTCCAGGGAAATAAGAAGGAAGCAGCGGCCCAGGGCTCCGACGAGCAGCAAGGTGAAGCACGGGCCGCTCAGAGGAAGGGGAGAGGCATTTAGCAAAGAAAAGATGGGCTTCGTGGGGAAGTGCTGCTACGGGATGTCAGGACAGCACCCTGCACCCTGCTTGGCCCGTTTCCTACGTGTTTGTGGTGCGCTGCAGCCCAAAGCACGGACACGTACATTTATATCCCAAGACCAGTGTGAGCCAGGCTCTTTTCCCTTATGCATCAGAGATTTTCCTGCTGCTGCACGCTGGCCTCCGCCTCGCCGGGTGTCACGTACCTGGAAATCCACCTGCCAGGGCTCGGGGCTGACCTGCTGCAGGTCCTGCAGGTGGGTTTTCCGAAGGGGGTTTTTCACCAGGGCGGTGCCGGGATCGCTGGCTGTGGGCACCTTCGTGCAAGGCTGGTGGTCGGCGATTTGGGTGGTGCTGTACGCCCGTCTCCTGGAGGAAGCTTTCACGTCCGTTCCTGCATGATGGGAGAGAGGATCAGCTCCGCTCCTGAGCGGGACCAGCCAGCACCATCCGCCTTTGGCTCCCAGCGGGAGCCCACCCCCCTGGTCCCGGGGCCGAGGGGGCCACGCTCAGCCCTGCACAGTTTCAAGCAAGGCAACCAAACCACAAAAGGAAACAAGAGCCTACACTCGAAACTCCGGGGGAAGTCGGGAGAGCAGACTGGGGAGGTTTTGTCTGAGCAGTTTTCAGCCAGAAAAAGCCTGACTGCATTTCCCTGAACCTCTCTGGAGAAGACAAAGGGCTTACTAATGAAATTTCATTAGCGCAGACATTCTCCTGTCAGAGCAAGAGTAAAATTTCATTTGGAAAAGCATGATTTCTCATTACTTTTGACAAGGTTGAGGGGATGCACAGCTCAGTTCCTCTCCGAATATAAGGGAAGAACATCCCATGAGTAATGGAGGTTTCCTTGCGGCACGGAAACATAACCAGCTGCTTTGTGCTACGTGCTGCTGACACAGATGTCCAGATGAGCTACGATGGTGAGGGGTGGCACCCTGGGGACAGGGCTTCGAATCCATTTCCCCCTCTCCTGACCTTGAACTGCAACTTCAGGGCTTACGACTGCTTTGCAGGTGCAGGGACAGTCTAGCTGGGCTACCCGTTTGCTCGCTCCTCTCCTTCTCTGCACACCGGAGAGCAGCTTGGGAAGCTTGTAAATAATGATGGGGCTAAAGCTAGAGCTGCTTTGGGAAGGCAGTTCTCCAGGGCTTCCCTTGATTTTCTGATAAAACATCCAAACCAAACAGACTCGCTCAAGCCTCAGGAGATCTGTCACTCCTTCTGCAAACCCCTCCGGTTCTTTGCAGAGATACAGCCGAAGAAACTTATTTGTCAGACAAGCAAATTGGCAGAGCAGTGACACAAGCTTGACTAGAAAGACAGGCATCACACCCACGCTTGTACGGAGGAAAATCTGACCAGTGTCCGTGTCGGATTCTCCCCCAGGATCTCTGCCCACCATCAGGTGATCGGAGGCACGCTCGGTGGGGCAGCAGCCCTCCGAGTCTCTGGAGTGGTTCCAGTTCTCCATGCTTGCTCCCTCCTCCTGGGAGTGAAAGAAAACAGAGCTGCCCGACTCCTGGGAACGCATCATGCTGTAACGTCGCCTCTTGTCCTGGGGGAAAGCAGAGAGAGGGAATAGTTCCTACCACCGCGTCCATCAGCCAGCTCCCAGCCGAGAGGTGCTTGTGCCTACCAGTGCCCTTATCTGCTGAGTTCCTATTCCCAGACATCTCTGGGAATGTCTGCTATTCCCAGACATCTCACCCACCATCTCTCTTGAGGACAGGGTGAGAAAATAAGAGACACCTCCTGACCCGCTCCTCCCAGGACAGCCCCACCAGCCAGTGCAGCGCGAACTCACAGATCTGGGGTTAGAGATGTACAGGGAGGTGTCGCAGATGATGCCGTAGCCGACCAGGTGGTCCCCAGGGAAGAGGCAACTGGTGCTGATGGGGGAAACCAAGACCTCGGTGCTCTCGGGAAAGACCCACTCCACGGACACGTCGCTCAGGACCGGCGCCATCGCCTTCTTCAGCGATTTGACCATCTGAGGCAGAAAGCAGAGGGGAGCGGTTATGCAGCGAGCGGATGTTGCGTGTGCCATGGTGCGCATGCTGTGTGTTACAGGGGAAGGGAAGAATTTCCTCAAGTAAATCCATCAATGAATTTGCACCCTCTCCTGACCTTAGATGGGAGCCTGCTCCCTCTTAGACTGCTCTGACACCTGTCCCAGCACCCCCAGTCCCTTGGCACGGTTATAGCAGGGGCAGCAGAGCAGATATGGATACGGCACTGGGCTGATCTTGCACCGTGCATGGCCGGCCCAGAGGAAATGTGGCAGCTTGTGGCCAGAGGTACGTTGCTCTGGTGCAAGGCAACACCCCCTGCTCCCCCCCAGCACATTGGAAAAGTTGTTGTCCTTCACTTCTCGGAGCCCCAGCCCTGTCCCAAGCCCCAACACTCATGCACCGACTGACAGCGCTGCTGTTTTTGGTACGGGTCCTTGCTGGCACCAGCCACTGCCGGAGAGCAGCAATGCTCTGCCAGTTATACATGTGGAGAAGACCAATATCTGTGAATATCTCATGGACAAACCTACTGGGGAGCCATCTACAAGAGCTTCCCTGCACACTAGGGGAAGAGAACATCAGATTTCCAGGCAGAACAGCTCAAAGGCTCTCTATTCTTCACTGCTTTTTCACAGGCTCGGGAAGACACACCAGGCTGTGTTTTATAAGGCCCTTAATTGATGCCTCAGACTGCTGAAGGCACCGAGCTGCACAGCCCGCAAAGCTCTTTATTAATAGCTCTGTAAAAAAAAAAACCAACCAAACCCTCCCTTCACTGTCTTTGCTTTTCATTTACATCAGAAATGCTGATGCTGTTCTGTCTTAGAGAGGTTTTTGTGTGCTCCAGGGTCCTGCAGCGGGGCAGACTGCTGAACTCCTTCTTTTGAGATCAAGAAGGTAGGAGCCAGCTTTTCTGAGATATTTAGGAGCTAAAGACCCGGATCCAGCGGATGACGGGCTGGGCACCGTGCTTTCACCAGGGGACAGAGCCATTCTTACGCCGTATTTGAGGCACATGGGTTTACTCAGTCTTCCTGGGGCGAGGGGAAATGCAGAAGCTCCCCCTCTTCGCTTTAAAGTCGGCTTAATAGCAAAGCTATCGCAGCGTATTCCTCTCCCTCAAACCCTGGCTACTTCTTGCCTGAGCAACGCCAGGGCTGAGCCTGACTTCAAAACTAATTGGCTGCTTTGATGCCAGCTCCTCCGGCCTCGCCAGCGTCGGAGGCAGCAGCTACCTTTGAAGCCGAAGTCGGCTATCGCTTCTCCCCATCCCCGCGCGGAGGGTAAACACACCCTCCCACTCCCTCCGACAGCCGGAGATGAAGATGCTCTTTCATCCTCTCCCGTTCGCCCACCTGCTGCTGAGTGGGAGTTGGAAAAGCAGCAGCAGGATGGGGGAATGAGACCCATTAGTGAGCTGTGGCCTCCCCCTCGCTGAACCACAGCATCCTTAGAGCCTTGCGAGGTGGTCCCCTGGGAGCGGGCAGCCGTACCTTGGGCTGCAGCCTCTCGCCCTCCGCCACGAACTCGGCGATGCCCCTGGTGCCAGCCCCCGAACCAGTCTCCTGCAGGCGTTTGGCCCAATGCCAAAGCTGTAGCACCTGCAAAAGGACACGGAGAGTCAGGATCCAGGGGATGAGCCATCCTAACCCCCAGCCCCACGCAGCTCACCCACTCCCCGCAGGCAGAAGATCCGCCCCCCTCGGCTTTATCCCATTGCTATGCAGTTGTCCAGCATATCTGGAGGAAAATACACCAGCTCCTCTTTTAGGTGGCTGGCAGGAGGGTCAGGAACTGCCAGCCCCCTCCTCTCAGCAGACCTCAAGTCCCTTCCCTGAAGAGCAGCTGTGATGCTCAGGGGCTTCCCAGCACGACCTCAAGCCTCTTCTGCAAACACAAGCAAGCTGCTTTGCTGCCAGTTCAGCTCTTTTCCCTGCTGAGTGTCTGCGGTCAATAGCATTAAAGACCCAGTAATTATCTCTGCTCACAATTAAAACAAACGTTTTCTCAAGGAAAGAGGAACCAGCCAGGCAAAACTTCTCCTTTGGCTCAATGAGTCAGGATTTGGTTCTGGCCGAAGGCTGCAAACCCAGAATGGAGCTGGAACCTGGGCAGGGAGGGCAGGAGCGAGCAACGCCTGGTGGGGTCGGATGCGGTACAAAGCCAGGAGGGATGGGGATGGGTGGGATACAGCGTTCGGCCAGGGCGACGGATAGCTGAGGAAGAAACCACCTTCAGCGGCAAACTGCATCTGCACGAGGAGCTTTTCTCTTGGAGGGTTTTAATCCCCATCTGGCTGCAAATCTTGGGTCAGCCTCGCACCCTATTAAACAAGGCTCTGATCTTCTTTTGAGACAGGGGCCATGCACACGGCCACGCTCGGACTCTCAGTGCAGTTAGCCCACCACCATGCCCCTGCAAGAGCCAGGGATGGGCTGCCCTATACAGCTGGGAAGCAGTTAAACCTCCATACAGTAAAAAAAAGGACAAAGCAGCTGCCCCGATTAGCCCTGAAGTCTAAGGGATGGAAGAAGAATAAGGTTTTCTTACATTTTTCCTATGTTTTGTGCACCTAAAAGAGGCAGAGGAGAAACCAGACCAGCCTGTCGTCAGGGCTGGGGAAGCAGGCTGGGAGCTTGATGCACAAATTAGCTGCTTTTTACATCGTTCTCTTTCAGCATATTCAATTCTGCACAGCCCCATCCTGGAAGCAGCTGGGGCCAGACCCAGATGTGCTTTAAAAAATAAAAAAAAAACACACCACGGCAAGGAAGATTGTTCGTGTGTCAATCTCTCCTAGCAGGAAGCATCAGATAAGAGCCTGTGAAGTTGTCAGCCCAATTATCCTGCTTTTGATTGTTTAAAAAGCATCTGAACTTCTGGGATCTGTTCCAAACCCTTTGAGGTTCTCCCATGGCTCATACCAGCCATTTCTCCTGCCTCTGTTTCTGAAGGGGAGGGGGAAATCTGTGAGATGGAACCGTGTTCAAGGTGAAGCACGTCCCGCACCGTGCCAGGCTTTCGCCCCCGCAGCGGCGAGCCCCGCTGCCCTCCGTACCTGGTGGAGCAGGACTGGTTTCGCAGCAGCTCCAGGACCTTCCCCGTGTTGCTGATGGCCCCTTTTTTTTCGGGGATGGCCCCTGTGGATGGGCTGCCGAATGACCCACTTCAGAGGCGATAAGATGTTGGTGCCCCCCATATCAGCCCGGATCCTCTTGATGCTCTCGCAGGCGACGGCCAGGCTCTCCTGCCCAAAGGAACGGCAGAATTGTCAACCTCTGCCCCAGCACCCTCCGAGCACCAAGGAGATGTGGCTCCCCCCTTCACCCACCTCGCAGTAAGTCTGACTGGCAGGAAAGAGGGTCTTGAAGGTGGATCCAAACCCAATGATGTTGAAGAGACACGCTGGCATCAGGCTCTTGAGAATGACCAACAGAGCATCCTGCAGGGTGGAAAGCAAATAAACACTGGGTCTTTCTCAGGCTGCTCCAGCTTCACCAGTAAAAGCCCTGCCCAGGCCCTCCATACCTTGCCATCGCACCTTCATTTGACAATAAATAATAACGAGGCACGGTAATAAAACTGCTTCTTTCACACAATTTCCTGCACCAGGAAAGCACTGCATACTAAATC